GCGGGGGGGGGGGGGGGGGTGTCCCTCAGCCCGGCCTGCACCTTCTCCAATCCAGGACCCCTTGGGGGATGTTCGATTGCCTCTCCCAGTCCAGAACCGCTGGCTCCTTAACCGCTTGCCTGCCTGTCTGCATCACCCCTAACCACCTCTGCCTGCCTGCCTGCCTGATTGCCCCTAACTGCTCCCCTACCAGCCTGATCGCCCCAACTGCTCCCCTGCTGACCTGATCTCCCCTAACCACCTCTGCCTCACCCCGCACCCGGGACCCAGGATTCCTTTCTCCGGCCTATCGCAGGCACCCGGGACTTGGGCTTCCCTCCCTCTGGCCGGCTGCAGGCACCCAGGACCTGGACCGGCTACAGCCACAGGGGACCGTGGGGGGGCAGCTTCACTCAGGCTGCAGCCACTGGTGCCCGGGACTGCAGGGTGGGTGGCACCTGGGATGGCGGGGCGGGGGGCTTGTCCCTCTCCCAGGCTGCAGCCTGGCTGGTCCTCATTCCTCTCTCGCGAGCTCATTTGTGTCTGGCTGGTCCCCATTCCTCTCCCACGAGCTCATTTGTGCATGGCTAGTCCCTATTACTCTCTCCCCAGTGTTGAGTGTCTGAGTCGTTATGGCATGATGGCATGAGGGTGTGATGACCATTTGCATATTAACTCTTTATTATGTAGGATTATATAGATAATACTGTATCGTGTACTTGAAATATGTTAATAAAGAAGGCCCTTAGGTGTTCTCATAACAAAGTGATGATGATTTCACAATGTATATGTATATCAAAACAGCACATCATACACCTTAAATATATGTAATTTTTGTCAATTATACCTCAACACTGGAAAAAAGATTTAAATTTGCCCTGCCAGATATAAACTTTTAACAATAGCAATTAAGATTCTATAGTTATGGTTTGGGGAAAGATAGACTAATGAAGGAGAATAGGGAGCCCCCAAAGCTTCCCACTATGTAGAAACTTTATATTTTATTGTATCACATAAGACATTGTGACTCACAGTCAGTAGGAAATGGGAGAGTGTATAATAAATCATCCTGGGACAATTGGTTGTCCTCGGTATGGCAAAAAGAAAAAAAAATAGATCTTTCATGGCAAAAATTTCCAGGATTAAAGACATAGTATGAAATGAAAAACTAAATTATTTAGATTATTTCTTAATTACTTCACAATAGGGAGGGATTTCTGAAACAAAATTTGATAAACAAAGGAAAGGATTGATAATTTTGGCTACATTAAAATTAACTTTAGCTGACCAAAAGACATAATAAAATTGGAAAGATGAGATTTGGAGTGATAGAAGATATTTACAACTCATATAACCAGTGATTAGTATCTAGAACAGGGGTGGGCAAACTTTTTGACTCGAGGGCCACAATGGGTTCTTAAACTGGACCGGAGGGCCGGAACAAAAGCATGGATGGAGTGTTTGTGTGAACTAATATAAATTCAAAGTAAACATCATTACATAAAAGGGTACGGTCTTTTTTTTTTTTAGTTTTATTCATTTCAAACGGGCCGGATCCGGCCTGCGGGCCGTAGTTTGCCCACGGCTGATCTAGAATATATTAAACACTTCTATAAATCAGTTAAAAGTGGCACCAAAATAACTGGCAAAAGACATTTAACAGAAAACTCATGCAGAAGAGTAAACACAAAAAGATGCCTAATCTCAATCAGGATAATGCATTAAACAATGCTGAGATATTGTTTTCTCATCTATACGATTGGCATGAATTCAAAAGCCTGATGAATGAATGTTGGTGAGGAGATGAAGCTTGTATACGGAGCTGATGAAAATGTCATCTGGCACAACCATTTGGGAAAAGAATGTTGCATTCTGGTAATGTTGACGATGTATAATACTCTTCAATCCAACAATTCTATTTTAGGGTATAAACACTAGAGGATTTCTTAACACATGTATGTAGAGACATGTTCAAGAATGTTTATTTCAGTACTGTTGGTACTACTGAAATGACAGGTCAGATAATGAATATAGTCTTAAGTATTAAACTGATGAATGTGTAAGGCAGTGAAAATTTAAAAAATAGCTGTACTTTTTTTCAGTGGGAATAAATCTCGTTCACTGGTTGAAGTGAATATGATTTGTAATTTCCAAAAGGAATATGAAATCTTGTGGAGGAAAGAGAAAGTTCTTGGGATTGCCAAGGAAAAAGCATTTTGTGAATGAGCCCCCCCCCCCCCCCCCCAAATATGATCATTTCGTTTCTTTCCAGCCATAACACAAATTACCTTACATTCCATTGAAATGATAGCTTTTCGAAGTAATTGGTTCTTACCACAAGAGGTCAGCATTTGCATGGAAATATTTCCTGTAAAGTAGCACAGTGGAAAAACAGACAAAATGAGAGCTTTTTTGTGTTTGAATGTATTCCTATCTGATTTGGATTCTGGTACTGATCTTCAGCTGCCTTAGTCAATGGAAATTTTAAGTAAGTTATTACAGAAAATGGTATGTACTAGTATAGTGTTGTGTTAGAATACTTCATTTTCATTACTTCTGAGCAACTCAACAGCTGCGTGCTATAGGAGGCAGGAATGCTCATCTTGACTTCGCTGTTTTTCTCTTGAGTTCCTTGGCTATTTATAATAGTTTGAAAAATCGGTGATGCATACTTACATCAGGGGGAATTTCTAAGTTATGATTATTTCATGAGGTTTTGTGACCCTCATTTAGCATGTATAATTTTTAATACTCTTAGAAGAAAATGAAGCACTTTGCTCTCAAGGCTAGAAGAAGGCTCTGCCACTTGGTTCCAGGTAGACTTTCCACTACAATGTTTCTTTACCCGACTCCAGGTTCCTTCCACCCACTTTTAAATGGAAAGTAGTGAGGCGTTTCCTGTTTGGAAGTCAGCACCAGACCTACACTAAATTGTCAGTGCTGATGGCAATGAATTGGAGACTAGGATAGCATTTTTATTCAGACACCTTCCCCACAGTGCTTTGCACACTGCCTTATACTTGAATGTCTGCCTTAATGAGAACAGAAATCTGATCAATTCATTCCTAGCTAAAAATCCTTCAGTGACTCCAAGTAGCTTTTAAGACCTAATTGAATTAGCTTCATGTTCTAAAATATTCACAATGTGGCCCTGCCAGCCTTGTATATTAATATATCTATATTTAGACCAGCTACTATATGCTAAGCTTACATTATATGTCATTGTAATTTTCCACTCTTTATATACATGATATGATTGTTCCTTACTCTTTGAAATATTGTATGCAAATGAGGAAACCAAGACTCAGAGCCCTGGCCAGTGTGGCTAAGTGGTTAAAGTGTGGGCTCTCCCACCAAAGGGTTGTGGTTTTGATTCCTGGTCAAGGGCATGTACCTCGGTTGCAGATTCTATCCCTGGCCCTGGTCTCGGTGTGTGAGGGAGGCAACCAATCAATGTGTCTCTTTCACATTGATATTTCTCTCTGTCACTCTCTCTCTCTCTCCCCTCCCCACCCCTCCCTCCCCCTCTCTTCTACTCTTTCAAGAAAAAAAAATCAATGGGAAAAATATCCTCAGATAAGGATCAACAACAACAAAAATCCTTTATACAACTGTGATTGAACTTGAATGTATTTGACTCCAAAGTCATAGCTATATATTACACTTCTCTCATCTTGCCTCTCCTCACAGCCAAACACTCTGCAGTCACACTGAACTACTCTTGCTTCCTTTTATGTCATACATTTTTGCTTCTTCTGAAATGTCTTTCTCACTTGCTCTAACTGGTCAAATCCAGGTTGACCCTCCCCAATCTGTTCAGTTGTGTTTTTGCCCTTGTGCAGAGTTATAGGGTCACAGTCCTGAGTAGTTTTCCTTAGAATGTGTGTGTGGTAGTGTAGCAGAAGATTGGGGAGGTAATGCTGATGCTATACTGGAAGAACTTGTTCTGTGCAGGGCAGAAATCCATTTGTAGCTTGAAACCCAACAAGGCAGTGATTGTTCCTTCCAAAAGGAACAAAATAAGTCCATCTCCTTTGACCCCAGGATAAGTCACTAGGAGAGAGAGAGAGAGAGAGAGAGAGAGAGAGAAAGAGGAGGAGGGGGAGGGGGAAAAAAGGAGAAAAAAGGAGAGGGGGACACGGAGAGAACTGACTGAAGCAGTAACTAAAATTTCAAGACAGACCTCCCAAGTTACAGGGAGTTGTAGGGTCAAGAGAGCAGAAAATCATTACCTGGGTTGACAAATCAAATAGGCAGCTGTACTTAAAGGCGAGACTGGAAATGAACTTTGAGTCTTTGCAAATGTAAAGACCAATGTAAAGGCCTTGTAAGTAAGGAGCAATAGCCCCTTCCCAAATCATATAGGGAGGATTTGGGTATTCAGGATGGGCAAGTAATAGAGAAGCAACACTCTTTTCATAAAATTCTTTTCTTAAAGTAGCTTATAGCTGTTTGAGCATGCTATGTGGGAACAGAAATTTTGAGAGATTATAACTTTAGCATTTCATTTCTTTCTCAAACTGGGAGCTAGACTCTCCACTTAGATTTGTAGAATGAGCATTTTTTTAAAAAATCCTCACCCAAGGACATGTTTTTAATGATTTTAGGTAGAGGGAGGGAGAGGGAAGACGGGGAGAGAGAGAGAGAGAGAGAGAGAGAGAGAGAGAGAGAGAGAGAAAGAGAGAGAAAGAGAAAGAAACTTCTGTGTGAGAGAGAAATATCAATTGGTTGCCTCCCGCATGCTCCCTGACTGGGGATTGAACCTACAACTCAGGTATGTGCCCTGAGCAGGAATTGAATCTGCAGTCTTTTGGTGTACAGGACAGTGCTTCAACCAACTGAGCCACCCAGCCAGGGCAAGCATTGCCTTCTTATTTAGCTACTAGTGGCCCGGTGTACAAAATTCGTGCCTGGGGGAGGGGCAGTGTCCCTCAGCCCGGCCTACCCCTCTCCAGTCTGGGACCCCTCGGGGGATGTCCGACTGCCCGGCCTACCCCTCTCGCCATCCGGGACTGC